TCTGGGATGGGAGTGGAGCCTGGTGGGTTAGAGCAGGGGGGCTGGGAGCCAGGACTCCTGGGTTCTCCCCGGGCTCGAGGAGGGCAGTGGGGGCTGGTGGTTAGAGCAGGGGGGGGCTGGGAGCCAGGACTCCTGGGTTCTCCCGGCTCGGGAAGGGGAGTGGGGGCTGGTGGTTAGAGCGGGTGGGGGTGGGGCTGGAAGCCCGGACTCCTGGGTTCTCCCGGCTCCTGTGCCCAGGTGCTGAAGCAGTACAACGTGCTGGAGCTGCACAACGGCTCGTGCCAGAGCCTGGGGCTGGAGGTGACGGTCAGCGGGGACGTGCGCTTCGAGGGTGAGTGCCCACCGGCGCGGGAAGGGTTAACTGGGTGGGCGGGGTCTGGGGGGCTCCCGGGGCTCCGCCCCTAGCAATAGCCTCCTCTTCAGGCCTTTTCAGGGCAGAGCCCCCACAATTTCCCCATTGGCAAGGGGGGCGGAGCCTCCAGGGCTGCAGCGAGGCCCCGCCTCCTCCATGACGTCATAGCCTTTAGGCCACACTTTTTAAAGGGCCGGCCCCCCGTTTCCTGGGCGGGGCTGGCTGAGGCCGCGGTTTGTGCCCCGCAGTGGACGAGGAGGATGACTATGACTATGAGTACGAGGGGGAGGCCCCCGCGGCCGAGGCCCCGCTCCACCCCATCCACTGGTTCGACGCCCGGCGCCGGCGCCGCAGGGAGGCGGCCGACCCCAGCAAGCGCAACAAGGACGTGGCCTATTCTGTCTGCATCTGGTGAGTCGGGGCGCCAGGGTCTGGCCACGCCACTTCTGCTGGGGGCGGGACTTCCTGTTGTCCATGTGCTATGGGGGCGGGACTTCCTGTCTTAGCCTTATTCTAACAAGGGTGGGCCTTCCTGTTGTCCATGTGCTATGGGGGGCGGGACTTCCTGTCATATCTTAATTGCTATGGGGGCGGGACTGATGTATCCATGTGGAGGCGGGACTTTATGCCTTAACCTCATTTCCGTTTGTGGCGGGACTTCCTGTGTGTCCATGTGCTACAAGGGCGGGACACTGACACGGGGGGTGGGACTTCCTGGTGTACCCCCATTCTCACAGTGTCCCCTCCCCCGCAGGAGGCAGCCGGGCTCCAGTCTCTCCGGCATGGCCATCGCCGACATCACCCTGCTGAGCGGCTTCCAGCCCCACATAGACGATCTCGACAAGGTTGGGGCCCCTGATCCCCCCACTTCCCCCATCCATCCCCCCAACTCGGCCCCCCTCCCTCCTGCCTGCTGTCACCTTCAGACCTCATGCGCCCTCTCCCCCTGTAGGGGGCGCCCTGCCCCTCTGCCTGGGGAGGGAGAGAGGGGCGGTGGGTGGCCGTGTCTGGGTGGGGGAGGGGCTGTGGGTAGCTGTGTCTGGGTGGGGGAGGGGCTGTGGGAGGAGGGGGCTTTGGGCTGTGTCTGGGTGGGGGGGCTGTGGGGGGAGGGGCTGTGTCTGGGTGGGGGAGGGCATGTGGGGGGAGGGGCTGGGGGGCTGTGTCTGGGGTTTGGCTAGTCTCTAAGGGGCCGACACGGTCTCTGACACCAGGCACTGCATCGCTAGCAAACCCAAGTTTGCTAGTCTCTAAGGGGCCACAGGTCTCTGACACCAGGCACTGCATCTCTAGCAAACCAAGTTTGCTAGTCTCTAAGGGGCCACAGGTCTCTGACACCAGGCACTGCATCGCTAGCAAACCAAGTTTGCTAGTCTCTAAGGGGCCACAGGGGCCTGACACCAGGCACTGCATCGCTAGCAAACCAAGTTTGCTAGTCTCTAAGGGGCCACAGGGGCCTGACACCAGGCACTGCATCTCTAGCAAA